GGCAAGCCAAATGGAGGCCACGCAATCGCTTATCATTTAAAAGTGCTTTGTGGGGTTGGTATCACGAAAAAATAATCAACAAAAAAAAAAAAAAAATAATAAAGGGATCTTACATAACAAAAGAAAAAAAAAACAAAGGGGGAGCACATGCAAGGTGTAAATTGAATGTATTCTCTCCGTAAGCACAATTTCGCACATATAACTATACATGTACATTTCAGACCTTCTCATTATATGGGCAAGGGCAATTTTTTTCTGCTGCACATATTGTGTAGTTTGGAACCCATGATGGGGGTAACTACTAATTTTTCGCTCTCCTCAGTCAGCTTTTTTTTTTTCCTTTACTTTTGTGTTGACGCTTTTCCTGCGTGGTTTTCTCATGTTCCAGGTCGCCTTAGATGATGGACATATTGTGGGACGAGTTGTCCGATATGGTTTTTCCGCACAAGTGGCATTTGCCCAATTTGTAGGCGCTAAAAGGGGGGTCATAAAGAGGGGGCGATAAAATGGGAGGATGCGAAGCACGGGTTTCCCTTTTAAGGATGGACCCATCACAGATGAGTGTGCACATGTAGGACGATATGCACACATGCGCGTTACACGTGCCACGTGGGGCGCCTCTACCCTGGCTAACCATGTAGAGCAGTATTTTCCGTCAAAGTGGAGTTGACTGTTGCACTTTTTGCACTTGCTCCTGTTGGGGTTAAACCTAGTGGGAGAAAAAGGACAAATGGGGAAGTGACGAGTTACATCATTAAATGTTCACCCCTTAAAATGACAAACGGTTGCGTAGGTTACAAGCGACGGGGGAGGACACCTTCTTGTGCATTTCGATTGGACATACTTTTGCTTGTTGCTTCTGTACTCCATCAGTTTGTTCCCTCCATAAGACCTGCTTGAGCCTGTCCAGAAAAATGCATTGCATGAATTATTTTTTTTTTTCGCGAGCACAAGTTGCACATGCGCTATGTTTAAGGCATGCAATTGGTTCATCGTAACAAGCGGCGCGTTTACGGCGGCATAGTTTTGTTCAAAAGTGTGCAGAATATGACCCATTCATGCGTGGGCAGGACACGAAAATACGCATGACATTTTGTGCACGTATATACATATATATACTTTTATGCTCATTTATTGATGCGGTCCCCTTCCTCGATGCACTCTGAAGTGGTCAATGCGCTATGAGGACAAAGGATGTATGTCGCAACAAAAAAAAAAAAAAAA